CTTAAATAAGCATGTATATTACTTTAATGTAGAAGACAATTTAAATAAATAAGAACAATCCACCAAACTTTGATAGATCCCATTTTTCTAATCCTATATAGGTTAGCCAGAAAATGACCAGAAATGCCTAAATATGCTATATATCTGGGAAAGAAAAAATAATGTCTTAAGAAGAGGAAATGGAATGGAAATCATGGAATTAGGAAATGGAAGGGGTTTAGAAATAGCCTTGTCCAATCTCTATTTTATGGAAAAGTTAAATATGTTGGTTAATGTTACTCACATGATGGAACTTGAACACAGGCCTGCTACAGCCAGTGTTCTCAACAATCAGTGTTTTTGACTTTATGGGGTGAAAGCCATTTTGGTAACCAACCTTTGAGGAAAGCTGTCATGGCAATTGCATAACATCTTCTAGATTATCATTAGCCAGAAAAACAAACCAGGGTCACACTGCTGTTTGTAGGCTAAAAATTGCTTGCCAGTTATTCCTACCTTAATAAAACATGAGCAGATGCTTGTCAGAGATACCAGTACAACTTCAGAAGCTATAGAACATTGTGTACCTGCTGTGCAGAGATGCTCTGCACCACATGCTTCTCCACCCAGTTTATCATGTGCTCTTGTTCCTTTCGACGCATCATATTTTGCACAGAGATCTGATAGTCCAGGCGATTCTTTACCTCCTTATATACTCTATGTAGCCGTTCCCGGTAAGTAACCTCCAAGGCCATAGCAATGTTATTCTAGGGCAAAATTAAGAAGTGGTGGATATTGTTTGCATACTTGAAGGAATACTTCTTGCTCTGAGTACCCCACTTAGAGTTAAAATGTTCCACCACTCTCTTTTATTTTATATGAAATTCTTTTATTTAACATTAAATAGGTAACGTACACATAGCAAAAAATTATAACAGCATATATTAATAGTAAAAATATATTTAAAAACATATGCAGTAAAAAATAAGTGTCCCTCAGCCTGTCTCTGCTCCCCACCACTATCTTCCTGTATTTCTTGTATTCCATCCCAGAAATATTTAATAAACAAAATATAGGTATATGTACACACACACACATAACTTTTAATTATGACATGCAAATCCACCTCAATTTTAAAAGTTACATTGGATTCCACTATATCGGTATTTCATAATTCATTAATCAAGCTCTATTAATAGATTAGGTTGCTTCCAATTTTTTCTACTACCAATAATGCTGCACACATTGTATGTTTGTCTTTGCACTTACGGGTGAATCAAATAATAGCTAACATTGTTGAGTACCTACTATATTCAAAACACTCTTGTGTTTAGATTCAGTTAAATCTTATAACCACACCATGGGATAGTTGTTATTATTATACCCATTTAGCAACGAGGAAACTGAGGCAGAAATTAAGAAACTTGCTCAAGGTTACGCAGCTAATAAATTGTGAAGCCAAGATCTGCGTATAGGCGGTAAGGCTACAAAGTCCATGCTCTCGAATATTTCTCCTGGGCTACCCACAGGCATCTCAAGCTAATTCATACAAAACTGAAGGGATTTGCAACAAGGCAGTCAAAGATATCCTTCAAAACATAAGTGAGATTATGACTCCTCTGCCTAAAAGCTTACAATGGTTTCTCTCTCTCTCAGAGTACAAGTCAAAATCCTTACAGAAACCTATAAACTTTACATATTCTAGCCCCTGGCCACCTCTACCTCCCTTCCTTTTATTCACCCCTCATCCACTGTACTTCAGCTGTGTTGGCCTTCTTAGTTTTCCTCGGCCATACCAAACAAACCTCCAGGTTTAGGGCACTTGCAATTGTTCTTCCCTCTGCCTGGAACTTATTTCCCCAGAAATCCACATATCTTGCACCACCAGTTCTTATAGGTCTTTGCTCAAATATCACATTAGAATATTTCCTGACTGCCCTATAAAAATAATACATCTCTCCTCCTGCGATCTTTTTAATACTAGTTTATTGTTCTATTTGGCATTTATTACCTGTTGTCATTCACTTCTGTTCAATTATTTATTTTCTGTCCTCCCAACATGTGGCTAGAAAATAGACTCCATAAAGGAAGAAGCTTTCTTTTGTTCTCTGTAATATTTTCC